CACCTTGTCTCTTTAATATCCTGAGACTAACATGGCTACAACTCCGCATACATTGACTGTAGGTATTCCCCGAGTCTATTCAAGAGTGAAGCTGAGAGTTAGAGGGGCTTGTTTTCCCATTTCATCTGGTGAGGCAAATGCTCTGTATGCACCTGTTAGATCTCACAACGTTCAAGACAGAGGGACAGCTTGCACTTCCTTATGCTATTGGCTGCATTATTGCACACCAAGTTCATTTCATTGGAGCCTGGCTGGGTGTGATTGGAAGCTAGATTTCACTGAAGAGGAGTGGCTTCTTCATTGGATTATGCAGCATTCTTCCTTAGCACATGTGCAAATTTCCAAACATCATAATACAGAGCCTGAATTCACAACCGCTTATTTGAGCATCTTCCTCTGTCTTCCCTTCAGAGATTTACACTGGTTCTTTAAATCAGTGACGTTAACCCAATCTAAATCTGGAGAAGGGCCACTTGATGGGGTCCTCCAGAATTTTTATGCTGCTTTCATGCCTTAAATGCTGCTATATTTGCCCACTTTCATCAAGTATGGACAAATAACAACTCTTTATTTTAAAGACATCACAAATAATTGCACTTAAAACATCACCAGATAGGTTTTATGCCCTATCAAGACTAGTTCAGTGTTTCTTCTGGCAGAAGTGTGCCATTATCACACCCAGCGAAGCGGAAGAAATGGAGCTCCTAAGATTAGGTGTCTGTAATGCTATCAACCCGTCCAGGAAAAGCATAGAACCTTCCAATCATGTGCTGGCAGTAAGTACAGAAGGAAATTATTTTAAAATACTTTGTTTTAAATTGTTTGCAGTTTTGTAGCTGATCTGAGAGACAAGGTGTGTGAGGTGATATCTTTTATTGGACCAACTTCTGTTGGTAAAAGGGACATGCTTTCAAGCTTCACAGAGCTCTTCCTAAGGTCTGGAGAAGCTAACCAGAGTGTCCAAGTTAAATACATGGTGGGACAGACTGTTAAGCATAAGGGCTTCACACATGCTCTAGGAGGTCACCTAAAATGAAGCCTGAGCCCGAGTCAGCTGGCATGGGCCAGCTGCGGGTTTTTAATTACAGTGTAGACATATCCTTAATCCTTGTCCTAAAAGGAAACTTCCACAACACCTTCCAAAGATGAGCCTGGGACCTTAAATTCTTAACTCTGCTAGACACGAAAAACCATGCACTTGACGGAGACTGGTTGTATGGCTCATCACAAGAAGTTATAACGCAGCCTACTGCGTGCCAACTGTTGACTTCCCACTTCATTTTAAGCATCTCCTTTCCAGCAACAGAAGTTGGAACAATACAAGTTATTACTTCACCCACCTTGTTTTAAATTGTCTATAGTTTTTTTAATTTTAAGGCTAGGTGTGTACTATGTTAGTGATTTACAATTGTAGACAGTATTTTGTACTTATTTAAAGTCACAGAAGTGATCCTGCAACGAGGTCCATGCAGGCAGACCTATCTTCCTTCACAGAGCCCCAGTGGTAATGGGGTCTGCCTGTGCGGAGCTCATTGCAGGAAATGGGCCTAAGTTAATAATGCAAAGGAAAGAAAATGCATATTTTTGGCTGCTGCCATCATTTGAGAATTCTCTTAAATCTATAAAGTCTGCTTCATAGACCAGCCTTCCTGAGCACAAAGATTTTGGTTTTTTTAGGGGTGTCAGTATTAGGAAATGTGGCTATATAAAGTGGATGTTGTTGGCTTTTCTGGCTAGCTCATTCCCTGTCTTTATAAAGGATGTTTCATACTAGTTCTGTATATCACCTTTGCACGGCCTGTGCTCTATGAACATATTGGTTGTAGATTGGAGCTGGACCTGAGACACGGCTTGCTGAATATTAAATATCTTGGGCGGGGGGGGGGAGGGGGGGGGGAAGGAGGGGAAGTTGAACTTCCAGGCACACGTTGAATGATTTACACTGCTCATAAAAAAATTGGCCTGAACCTCTGCCCAGAATGGGAAATGAACTTGAACCAAGCCTTTCTGTAGGTTTCAATGTGTTCAAATTTGCTCTCCATTATTTTTCATTTTCATTGCTTTGCCTCTCTGCACCTCCTAGTTCCACCCAGAAGATCAAGTGTGGGAATATCACAATGTCTGTTATGGTATTTCTGGCCCAAATTAAAGCAAGAAGTATTGGTAATAATTAAAGCAAGATGGATCATAAGGGGTCAGCTCTGCCCTCCCCTCCACAAAACAAGAATCTTGGAGGCAGATATGAATGGCTGAGAGTTATAAATGTACCTAATCAGGCTGGTTAGACCCTAATGTTTTATTAAATGCTGAAGATCTTGGTCAAAGTAGTAACCCTGGAGTTAGTGATATAATTTAAGCTGCCTAATGTGAGGCACCTTAAAAGGGCCTGATTTTCAGAGGGTGGGTTCTCAGCACTTTCTGAAAATCTGGCCCCTTTAAGTTGGCTCAAGTTGGGCACCCAAAGTGCTTTTGAAAATCTTGGTCTTCATTCCTCAGAGTTAAGTAAAATATATTTCAGTGGAGTCCAGTTAACACCCCCACCAAAAAAAACTACTTTTAGGTAGAAAAATTCTACTGCTTCCCAAATGTTAAAATGTCTGGAAATGAAAAGTGAAGGGACCTGGCCAGTTCCTCACAGTCATATAACCAATCTTTTGTCACTATCATTCACCTACCCAGGAACAACAGATGTTCCAATGGTTAGCGCACTAGCTGGGGGCTCTGGATACCCAGGTTCAATTCCCTCATGTTCCAGAGACTTCCTGTGTAACCCTAGACCAGTGGTCTCCAAAGTGGGGTGCGTGCATCCCAGGGGGTGTGCGGCAGGAGGAGCACTTGTTTGTTTGCTTCGTCAGTTCGGGCAGGAGTCCGAGCAGCTTTTTTTTTTTCTTGGGCAGTTCGGCGGGGTCCGACTGTCCTTTTTTTTTTTTTTCCCTTCGGTGTGCTCAAAATTTTTTTAGTGATGGGGTGCACGATCAAAAAAGTTTGGAGACCACTGCCCTAGACAAGTCATTTGGCCTATCTGTGTCTCATGGCATATCTTCACTACAGACACTATGCAGCATAGCTACATCTCTGTAGCTATACCAGCATAACCCCGTAGTGGCAACACAGCCTACACCAAAAGATGGGGTTTTCCCATTGGTGTAGGTACACCAGCTCCCCGTGCAACCATAGCTACATTGATGAAAGCATTCTTCCATAGCTGTGTGTGCACTGGGGGTTAGCTTGGCATAGTTACATCAGTCCAGGGTGTGATTTTTTTTTTCCACATCCCTGACCAGCATAGCTATGTTAACTAACTTTTATCAATAAAATGGGGCTAATAGTACGTCACTAGCTCACTGGGGTGTTGTGAGATGCTCATATTACAGTCATCGGAGCCCAGGATACATTTATGATAGACTTACACCCCTCTGCTCTTGTTTTGTTCTGTAAGAGAACAAACCAAACAAAACAAAATGTTGGACATAGTCCTAATCTTTTTCTATTTATTAGAAGCGTGAACATTTTCCAAAGGATTACAGTCCCAGGGCATATTAAATTCTGTCAGGACATTCTGTTTTCTCAATGTGACATGTTAGTAGAGTAGAAGAATATTTTTATGAATAGAAATGGATACAAATGTTACAAAGTATGTTGAATTATTACTTGTGATGTGGTAATGCCTAGAAACTTCAACCGGGTCAACGCCCCATTCTACTAGACACTATATAAATAGTAAGACAATCCAGCCCTGAAGTGCTTACAATCTAAATAGACAGGAGAAAGAAAGTGGATTTTCCCCATTTTACAGATGGGGGGGATGAGGCACAGAGAGTAAGGCCCAGATTTGTAGAGGCAATTAGGCATTGTTGTTGTGCTCTGGTTGCAACACCTTTCTAAATACTCATTTCTAAATACCTTTAAAAATCTGAGCCAAAGTGATTTTCCCAAGGCCAAACAGGAAGTCTATGGCAAAGCTGGAATTAAGCCCAGATGTCCTGAATTGTAGTCCAGTGTTTTAAGCATCACCTTCCTGAACTAAAACTTTACTGTTGTAGCTTTGTGTCTAACCCCCAAGAATCACAAAATATCTGACCTGAAATCATCAGTTGTGCAGGACTGAATATCACCTGTCCTAGGTCTAAGTGACAGTGTAAATTTCTGGAAGGATAGGAAGAAATAATGCAATTCATTACACAGTTCTACAATTTATCAGTGGGTATCACATCCACATACAATAAATTACAGTGAGTATATGTTTATTAGAGGAGCACAAACCACAAATTCTTTACAAAATCATATGATGAAGTCATCGCTGATTCACTTTGACATTCCACAGTAATGTTCCCGAATACCACAGTTCTGTTACTACCGCGTTTGGAGCTTACAATTTATAAGGCTTGTTAGGTTGTAAATGAATGAAGTGTGAATTAACGATTCATTCTGTTCGAATTACACTTATGGTATGCTACTAAGCACAAAATGGAAAGAAAAGCAAACAGTAATACCACTAGAAACAGGCAGCTTCTTACACTGTTATCAAATCCAAGGTGGCCCCTCTCCTATCCATTCAGTTTTAGCTGGTAAAGTGATAGTGTCTGATGGCATAAAGAGAGGAATTCTGCATTTTTAGAGGGTTACAATGTGATTCCCCCTCTCGTGCAAAGGCTAGCTTTAATATACAGTACCTCTGAGTCCTTCCATCTGTTTGATAAAGTATGTTGGAAAGTTGGGTAGCAGCTATTGATCAGTGTACTGCGACTCACAGTGCTAAAATAGTATTCCCTATGTGCTTTTCAGTTGTAAGCAGCATGCATTTCTGAATACAGCCATCTGAATACACTGTAAATACTTGCATTCTCCTTTTACTAAGATGCTATTAAGAGACTGTACTGTACACATAGCTGTCCTTTCAGACTATCAGATTCTACAGCATTGTGGCTTTGCTCACTTTGTCTTCTCAGCACTCATGAAGTTAACTATTAATGCCAATAGATTAGTACTAAATCTCTTACCTTGCAGAGTTTCAGAACTAACCAGCATGCCAGGTATGCTGTCAGGGTGAATTTAGCTTTCATGTAGGTGTCCGGTAAACAGGTAAGATACATTTGTACCAGATCCAGCTCTTCACTGACAACGCAATTGCCAGCATCAGCAGTAGCATCCTCCCCATCCCCTTGTCTTTGATCCTCTTCTACTGATGCACTTGGGCACCTATTTAAATCCATTTTATCAAAGATATTTTCCCTCCTTGACAAAGTCCTGATCTTTCCACAGAAAACTCAGGGAACTTTTTGTTTCATATCAGTAAGTATATTTTCTGAGCTTCCAAAAGTATGTAGCCTTGCCTTTAAGCCAACCCAAAACTTAGACTATGGTGGAAGAAACTTTCTTCAGTTTAAACTCCCTTGGATCATTCTTTTTCTTATTGAGCGACCTTTTGCAAATGTGTGTACAGCTACAAGATAAATATAGCACTGGCTAGCGAGCCTTGTCATACAGCACAAGAATACTCCTGCCCGTTGCCAAGAGAGGAGAGAAAGATTCCATTTATTTAAAGAGCAAGTCCCCGGCATCAGTACTCCCTTGTTCATTTAAAGAAAAAAAAGAAAAAGGAAAGAGCTGTTATCTTTGAAACCTTTTTTTTTTTTTTGACAATTGTGCTTCCTCAGAACAAATCCCATTTCTGCAAGAAATGTTCTTACGGAGGAGGATTTTTTAATCCAGAGACTTGTAGCCACAGTAATTCATTGTCTGTGATATTGCAGATGCTGAGCTTGTGAAGGCTACAAATTTCAAAAGAATAAATGAGGGCTCGCAGATGGAAAGAGGCCAAGACATTCTGAAATAACTAATGGTCCTTCCATAGGCCAAAAAATGAACAAAACATGTTAGAGATTAACCAAGCAATTTTCCAGCTAAATGTTAAGGAGTTCATTTATGCCTTGAGACAGCATTCATTTGTATATGCTAAGAACACTTTAAGACACACTTATTTTACTTTTGATGGCCTACATCTTAGTAAATGGCTTGAGAAATATAGATTTAATTGTAGCAGTATTTAATTGTTAATTTAATTAAACAGATTTAATTGTTTCAGTGGTACTAATAACAAATGTATTTTTTGTTTTGTTTTGACCATTAGGGCTAATTGTCTTGGTAGCTTTAGCGATTAGCAAAGGAAATATCCATCCTTCAGATGAGACATTCAATTCTGCTTTCTTCCTGCTTCTTCTTCTTGATGTTCAGGTGGAAAGTGGACAGCCTATGGCCACTTGCAGAAAGGTTGTGGGAAAACTCTGATGTCCTTGGCAGATGTTTCCTTCCTTAATGTAAAAGGATCTGGTGGCCAAGACTTCAATTAGTGAGTTTGAGTTACTTCTAAGTACCAAGTGGCAGCTATTCAGTAAAAGTACTGCAAGCACCTAAATCCTTAAGGTTCAGTTCTGTCACACTTATTCACATTGAGTAGTAATCCTATTGAAACTCATGAAATTATTTGTGGAGCAAGAGTGGAAGAATCTAGCATTTACTGTGAAAGGCATAATACAAATCTGTAGACTAGATCCATCTATAATGAGATAGAGGGGAAAAGCAGACTACCAAACAAGAGCCCTCATTCTGACTGAAACATGCTCCAAGGGGTCCAACCTGGGTCACTATTCAACGGCCAATATTTCCCTATTTTTCCAGACTGATGAAGGTGAGTAGGAGAGACAGCAGAGAACTATGGAACTAAACTTCGTTGGATCAGTGAAGTGCTGCAAGAGACATTAGAAATAAGAATATCATTGGCATTCCTGCATGTAATCTGGAGTGCAGATGTTAAAGGCTTGATTACGCTGCTGCTGGAAAATAGCCGAGTAGTCTCTCCATCCAGCCATGCCCCAATATTGTGTGTTAAGATGTTAAGAAGAATATAATCAAAGCTAGAATAACACACTATAGAAAACAGTTAGTGTGGCTTTAAATTTGCAGAGTGGTTAAAAATGAACACCTTACATATTCCTCTTCCTTCAGTGTGTCCCCAACAAACTGTGAGAGCTTCTAATGAGCAAAGTCAAGTCCTCACTTCCACCTCTGGATCTTCCTCCTCTTCGAGTCCTCTCGGGCTTTGTCCACAAGGAGGTTTCTACACTAGCCTTTTCCCCCAAAGCTTTCCAATATTGCTACCACTTAAGGGGCTAATAACTACAGGGAGCTAGCATAGAACAGTTTAACAGCATTTAAACCCGTGTTATCTAACCCTGCTAAGTGCTGATGACACAGTAGTTAAAGTACCAGCAGCCACAAGTATCCTGCCCGTGCTGCCACTCCTACTATTTCTACCACAAGTGAAGCTGAAACAGAGATAGCACCAGTCAGAAATCTCAGGAAAATAAAGAACTCAGATTAAGATCTCACTATCAGGGGCGGCTCTAGGCACCAGCAAAGCAAGCAGGTGCTTGGGGCAGCCCATTTGCAGGGGCAGCAGCCGGCAGGGATCCAGCCAGGGAACTGAGAACCAACAGGGGGCCCTGGGAGCTGTAGTTCATTGGTTAGCTCCCTGCCTATAGAGCCAGCCCTGGAGCAGGGAAAGAACTCCATTTCCCAGCATTTCCTTGGCCGCTATCAATAGGAAAGGGAGAGGGAGGGAGTATGGTAGTTGAAACCTCATGCTGCAGCTTGCTGTGAATGGAGAGCTCACTGCTAGAGCAGGGTGGCATTGTGAATGGGGAACAAGTATGCCCAAGGAGTAGAAGGCTTTGGCCTAGATATCCCCTTCAGAAGACATCCCCAGCCTGGATTAGGGATACTGGTGTGACCTCACCTTGCAGCCCCCAAAGAAAGAATTGGGTGGATTAAATGGACAGTGCCCCTCTCTATCTGAAGCCTAGCAAGGGAGGTATGTGGATCCCACTAGAATTTAAAATGAAAAGTAAGGGAGGGGAGACTCTACTCGACCTGGGCAGCTTTAGATACAGTACCAGGCACGTAGGAGGATTTCCACTTCTGAACCATGGAAGCAGAAATTGACTTTTCCTTTCCAGATTTAGCTAATATTCAGAAAGGGAATCTAGCATCTGCCTTCCAGATTTGAACACCTCAAAATTCAGGAGTGCTCAAGCTCAATTCGGGCAGCTATTACTTCATTTCTCCCAAATCAAATATACTGATCCACTGTAATTTGCTGTAGAAAAAGTAGGGCTGGGGTGGGGGCAGTCAAATTTGGTTTTGCTTGGGGCAGCAAAAAACTTAGAGCCAGCCCTGCTTACTATTAACAGTCCTCAGTCCTGATTTTTTCACTGCTTTGCTCCTTGGATAGACATTTTCAACTCTGTCAAATGAGTGTAAAGTAATCTGCACAGGTATAAATGATTCCATGAGCTTCAAGCCAGTGGAGAATCTAGCCCCATATTAGCATGTTGTATAGTACCTCAATGGTCAGCTTAGACATCAATACACAAATACAATTGTAGTTCTACGTTTCATCGTATTTGATTAGGTACATTGTCCCTGTTTCTCCAGAGACAATATTTAATCTAATTTGCATGGGTGCATATCTGTGCACTTCAAAGTCATTTTTTGCATTTAAAATAAACTTTAGAACCTGTTTCTTGAATATCCAAACTTTAGTGTAAAAGCTATTGCCTAATACTTGCATAGTGCTTTTCAACTGTTGATCTCAAAGCACTATTTGTGATACGCCTTCCTCCTTCTCACCATTCTCTTTTAGGAGACCCATACTTAGGCTAATCGAAGCTGACTGTGTCCCTTCAAATCTTTTTATTTCAATTCTCCTACTTTTCCTTGCTTTTTAAATTCTTCTTTGACTTTGACTTGCCCTGCTGAGGATTATAAGTCTGTACTTGTGAAGCTACAAGGGAAAAAATAGACAAACTTGCATACCAGATGAATTCTCAATAGTTCTATCAAGTCTGCTCCCAATTCCAAGCTTCTCCAGTACCACACAGCAATAGCATGTCCTTCCGAGACACTGGGTTTCCTACCTCCAAATTGTAGGATCCTTTTCCTTTTATAAATTCTATTAGCAAGAGTCCATGAAGCTGATTCCGCTGAATACAAATGTGTTGACAAATACCTGAAGGTCCTGCCGAAGGGTGGGGTTTTATAAGCCAGACAGTTCTTTAATTGGACTGGCTATATCTGCTACAGAAAACAAATTGATTCTCTCTTTTGGTATTTCTGAGGGGTTTCCACCGATGTCTCACGAACACAGAAAGCTATTCTTAAGAGTCTTACACAGACACTGAGGTTTTGTCATTATGTTGTCTTGACATTAATATATTGGGAATCATCCACAAAATAACTAGCTGCAATTATTGAGCTGGGACCCTTCCCATGGTAATGCTCTGTAGTGTAATGCAAGAGACTTAAATCCAACTCTCAGTCTGGCCACTTGCTCCCTTCAGTAATCAGAAAGAGGACAGAAATCTCTGGGATCTCCTTTTCTTGCTTTCTCCACCTACCAACCAGGGCCGCCTGGGGAGAGGGGGGCAAGTGGGGCAATTTGCCCCAGGACCCACGGGGGCCCCCATGAGAATATAGTATTCTATAGTATTGCAACTTTTTTTTATGGACGGGGCCCCCAAAATTGCTTTGCCCCAGGCCCCTGAATCCTCTGGGCAGCCCTGCTACCAACATCACCTCAGTCTTATCTGAATTGAGTTTCGGCCATCTAGCTCTTAGTCATGCTCTAATCTTATCAAACACTGAGCAAAGTGTTCTATTGCTCTAGCAGCAGGGTCAAAGAAGAAGGAGCCATGGGGTCTGTTCCTGCTCCGACTGAAGTCAATGGTAAGACTCCCATTGAATTAAATATATCAGGATCAGGGCCACAGAGCTGGATATTATCAATATGCTGACGTCCATTTGTCTACTGGGCCGTCATCCTTACATCTACCAGAAGGAGGAAAAAAATCAGAACCATGATAGCTATTCCTTTTCATAGATTCAGTCATCAATTTTAAGGCAAGAAGGAACCATTATGATGCTCTATTTTGACCTCTTGCATAACACAGACCATACAACCTAGTATTTTTTTCATCAGGCCCATAACTTCTGCTTGAGCTATAGTGTTTTTCTTAGAAAGATATCCAATATTGACTTAGAGAATTCAAGTGATGGAGAATCCACCTTGTTTTCCAATGTTAATTATCCACACTGTTAAAAATTTGCATCTTATTTCTAGCCTGAATTTGTCTAGCTTCAGCTTCCAATTACACTGCTCTACAGCCAAAATGCTTCTGAAATAAATGTTGTCAAACTTTACTAATTCTGGGTCACTGAGAACGAAAATGATGCTTAAAATTGTTGATTGGCTCTAGTTTTCAAGATATGCTATTGGCTCAGTATATACGACCCTTAACTTGGGAATGGCAAGGGATAAGTGAGTTATAAAGGG